GTTTTTCTTTGCTCGAAACTATTTCTTATCTATCAGAAGTATCTTTCAGAAACTCAAAGACTCGGTCTCCAATGTTAGTTGTCAATTTGTTCACGATCATGAATATTTGTGAAATATATTTTTCTTAAAGCTGATTGATATTCGCTCCGAAATTTCTTTAACTGGCATTGCAAATCTACAAACCTTTAAATTAATGTATCTTTGTTAGAGTTGACATAATTGAATAATTTTTTTTTCATTTTGAAGTTCAAAATCCGAGGAATAAGATTAAAATTGTGAAAAACATTGTTATAAATAATTTTTCATAACGCAATTGAAAAAAATGTCTGATGGATCACGCGTATACTTGGACTTGCGAAATGCGAATATCGGTTAGGATTAAACGGATTAAATCTTTATTACAGATTTTGGCACTCTGTTAACGGGCAGAACATCGCAGTCTCTGCGTCGCGATGAACCGAATCCGACGACAGTTTACAACAGCGCCTACAACTACCTAGCGACCGGTCGCTTCACGTTTCACCGTAAGAATATCTACTACGCGTTCTATTTGTCCGCGTCGACGCCCCGACCGCGTAGCATACAATTCGTCGACGGATCCGGCAATATTCTCGAAGAGCAGGTGATTGATCCAGTTGGTGGTGCTTATCAGAACACCACTGGCAAACTCTGCGGCGTGTGGAGACGCGTGCCACGCGATTATCGCAAGTTGCTACGCGAGGAACGGCTACACGTGTCCTTCCTCTGGGAGCCTTCATCAAGCTTAACCGGCCAGTTGTCGCGTTATCGCGCTCTTTCGACCGAGCAATTCTCCGCACTCTTGGAACCGGCGATGGGCGTCGACCGGTCGTTGATGTCCGGCGCGGGCGCAACAGCGATTGTATCCGCTTCATCCGCGTCAGCGCCGTCGATTCACGTGTCCCTCGTCTTCAACGGTCTCTTCCTGCCGAACGATGTGGCCGATGTTCCGTTAGTTGTTCAGCTGGAACATCACGAGAAGGATCACGTGGTCCTTCGCGAAGAAATAATAGTGAGAAAGCCATCGAACGAGCTGAATTACGGAGAAGTCCGTAGCGCACTTTCCGGGACCGATCTTCGTCTTTTGACTCGAGGCAAGTTGTTGATCAGTATAATGTCTCGCAAAGATCCGCAGGCTCTTCGACTGATCGGCATGATAGGTTCACGCGCAACCTGCGACATGTATCAAACATTGCTGCTGTCGGAAACACCGTCCGTGGCATCCGGATTGGCTTGGGTCTTTTTGGATCGTGTCGGTGCGCTACGCTACGGAGTGCAATTGATAGGACTTGAAGAAGAGAGCCCTTTGGTGACGTTGGTGGATGAGGGCGGGAAACGGAGAATGGAACTCGAAGATCTGACACCTTCGTTGATCGGCGGCTCCCTCGCGAATGGTTCCTTAGACCGACCTGGACCCAGACTATTGCAGCCACTATTCAATGAGGAACTCTCCGTAGTCGCTGCCAGCCATGTCGGCTCCATGTTGCGCGGTAGACTTTTAGAGAGACCTGTGGCGGACGCTAGAGATACGGCCGCACCTGTGCTACTACGAAGATTGACCAAGGAGCCAACGTATCCTGGACCGGTCGGCTTGATATGGACCGCGGTGGATTTAGATTGTTCTTTACACTATGAACTAGAACTCGCTGGTTTCCCGCCCTCCTCGCAAGAACCGCGAACGTTTCGTTTATATTTAGAAACGATGCCCATGCTAGCCCAGGGAGCTCCTGTCGCTAGAAGACTTCTCGAAGAATTCACGGGATACTCTCTCGAAGGTTCGGTCACCGGACTATCATCGTTGGAACTCTATAGGATCGAGTCGGGTATCGGTTTTCTCGAAGTGACAGACAAGCAGGTCACACACATTCTGAAGGCCCCTTTCAAGGCGAGAGCACCGTTCAGTTGTTTGCCACACTATGCCGACAACGACGTCACCTCTGTGGTAGCCTATAATCTACAACCACCTAGGTCGGATATCGAGACAGGTGCGTGTTTCCACGAGACCAGATTCTACGAGGAAGGCACGCAATGGACCTCGAACTCGGATCCTTGTTCGATGTGTCATTGCTATCGTGGCTTGGCGCAATGCGACACAGTACCCTGTCCGACGGTCTCTTGCGAGTTGGGAAAGCAACTCAAACAACCGCCGACTGGTCACTGTTGCCCGATATGCGCAGGTAAAGGGGTTTATGTATTTATTGAAACTGGAAATAATTTTTTTTTATACAAAACGAGAATATCTACGTAAGAGAAGGACAGAACGGAACATAAAACATAACTTGCATAAATTTATGTGCAAAATTGCAAAAGAGATAAGTTAAATATCGCCTAAAACGCTCGAATGATAAATTATATTTGGTAAAGTTATTTGATAAAACTATTCCTAAATATGATATTATATCGACATATTTAATATTTCGTTAATAATTTATTCAGATTCAATGAATGCCGAAACTAATGCTACAATCAAGAATAATGCTACAAGAGGTTGTACGTTAGCCGGACAATATCATCTCGCGGGATCATCCTGGCATCCATATCTACCACCAGCAGGATTCGATACATGTGCAGTTTGTACTTGTGACGTAAGTTTCTACTCTTATTTTTGTTTTATTAGAATCGTAGTTGGATCGATAGCGACACATATTTATGAAATATTCTACACTGTGCGTCACATAATTTCCTAATATGTTATAATTACGCTTTGGCTTAAATCGCGTTAAAATGATCACCAGTATTTCATCATTCGACGCGATTTTTACAGCGATTTTTACAGCGATTTTTACAGCGCGGAAAAACCTGAGCGTGCCACACCACGTCTGAAGAATGCGGTTGCGGTCTGGCAGTTAGTAATGAGCTTAATTGAATGATTCAGCGACAAGATTTTCTAAACGATTGCAGTTTATTTAATACTCGGCAATCGCTTCCTAGCCAATTGACACCATGCAGAAGTCATTCGAAAATATCTCGCGTTATGTATCAGGGAACGACGTACATCTTTTACAAATTTCTACACAACAAACATTTATACACTTTTAAAGCATTACGAAATTTCTAGGCTGCAATCCGATTCACAACGTTCTCAAAAGCATTTTGTTATTAGATAAACAAGGACAAATTATGCTTATGAACATTATATAAGTGTGAATCGAACCGCAGTCCTAAATTTCCACAGATTCCAGTAATAAATTGTAAATGCGACACGGTGAAGTGAGCAAAACGCGTGAAATGTGTGTGTTACGTACGGGACGCGACTAGGTATGAGAGATCACCTTCGCAATTTACATCGGAAATCCATTTGTCTCACAGGCTGTCACGCTGGAGGTAAAATGCCCGTTGGTACAGTGTCCGCCGCTTGAGTGCGACGAGAAGATCGCCGTTAGGCTAGACAAGAAAGCCTGCTGCAGACAATGCCCACCATCAACGAGCCTTAGCAATGTAACCACCACCGCATCGAGCGACACCATACGCCTACCGAGAGATCAAGCTTTACCTTCAACGAGGCGCACCGCGGAAGAGATACTCTCTTCCGGTGGTTGCAAGTATCCTTTCGGTGGACCCTATGAGAATGGTATGGAATGGCATCCCCGGTTGCACTCGCACGGCGAGGTAAAGTGTGTCAAGTGCCGCTGCAAGGTGAGAAATCTTGATCGTTAAAGTCGTGAGAAAAATGAAAAGTGAACAAATGCGCATTAATTATCACCGCAATTCTCGACTTGGTCGCAATTCGTTCCAAAACAACTGGATCGATGAATAAATCGCTATTTTTATGATCTCTCATTATCAAGCATGTCTGATTACTTATTTGAACTTATTTGAATGAGATGAATCTCGCAATCGCGTCTTGTTGTCAAGCAGAGAGTCTTAGAACTCACTTTATTTTTGGTCGTTACACTCAATTCATTCGTTAGACGGTCATTGCGCGGTCGTCCCGTTGCGATATCCAGACATGGACACGACGAGAAATCTTTAAGGCGAAAACCTTTAACCGGACTCGTTCGTCTGGCCCGACCATTATAGGGTCCATCCATTATGATGAAAATGGAACACTGCGGCCTCGGTTGGCTTTGCGTCGCGTCGTGTCGCGTCGCGACGTCACAAGACGGAGCGAAAAATAATCGTCTCAATCGTGAGAAATGGATTTTGTATTCCAACAGACCTCGTTGCACCGGTTCTTCTCTCGCATTTCGTTTTTATTACTCGCATTCGGTTTTTTTCATTGATGGATAAATATCTCGTCTTGCTACACATATGCATTTCTTCTTTTTATCTAAGTCTGTTAAGTAAGTGTACAGTCTGAGTTGTTTTCACGGGTTTCAGCGGTGTTCCTTAACACTAAAAGTTATTGTCCAGTTCCTGTTTTTTAAATTAATATTATATTTTTTTATGTAAAAGAGATTCTGAAATTTTTTACTTATTAATATAATTATGTTTTTTATTACTGATGAAATATTTAATTTTTCAACACTTTCTTTATTTTCATAGTAAGCCATATAGCACAATTCCAGCAATATTGCAATAATTGCCAGCAATATATTATGTTAATATTCATTCGTATACTTTTAATGTACGTTTAATGATACAATACGTTTAATGATACAAAGAATGGATATACATCTATATGTATGCATCATCCTATATTACATCATAGAATAGAATAGAATGAACAATGCGAAGTGGATCGCTGATCTGTTCTGGAATGATCCGTTTCCGCGCCGCTCGCCATCATGACTGGCATTTGCTGGCATTCCTTGCGGATTTCGCATAAATGCTTAAATGGTGATCATAATAGGACCGTTCCCTCTGCTTCTTTCAGAACGGCGAGGTCAGGTGCGACAGGAAACGGTGTCCACGGTCACTTTGTAACTCGATCGCGCATCAGATGAAGCGCGGCGAGCACGTGGCGGACGCCGACGACTGCTGTACGGCGCAGTGCGAGCATCGCGCGAGGCGTCATCATCGCAACAACCATCATCCGGCGCGGCGGCACTCTATGACGCCACGCGAATTGAGCTGAGCCTGGTAGTTCCGGAGAAGAGTCTGCCCCGGTCCACGAGGAAGCTCCGCCGCCTGCACTATAGTCGTCGTCGAATGATGACGAAATCAGTCACGGCCGACCATTATTCGTCACGCGATCGCTCTCTTCGTGTATCGTACGACCCGAGGGGCTCTCGAGACGGAAAACCACATCAAACCACCGAACGGTTCTGTACACGTGCACGTTCGCACGCGCAAAATCGCGAGAGCTGGATTACAGATGTTCACCTGAGCTGAATTAAGTAGGCGAGGAAAGAGGGAACAGCAGAAGAATAAGAAATTACAAAGACGAGAGAGAGAGAGAGAGAGAGAGAGAGAGAGGGAGAGAGAGAGAGAGAGAGAGAGAGAGAGAGGGAGAGAGAGAGAGAGAGAGAGAGAGAGATCGACTATATGTTTACTACTTCGCGTTTTGACCGGCAAAATGAGCGAGAAACGCCTGTGTAAACTTTGTCATTTTAATTTTTAGCAATGGTATTCGAGGTGACAAGAGTAATTACTAATTAATTAAATGATGACGAATGCGTGCTCGTCGCTCAAAGTTTGTCGTTGTCGGTGGCGCGTACAGGAAGTCGCGAGAAATAGCCTAGTGCAATAAAAGGAAGGACGTGGACGCGTACGGACACGATCGGATATTGCTATTCTTGTCCGCAACAAGACCGCTCGGTCGTTCGCTCCGGAGCCTCCAGCGCCCGCAGCCAGACGCTTATTAATCAATTGATCCCCATCAACGGATTAAAAAAAAGGAAAGAGAGGAACGTAAGCTAAGCGCCCTTCTCCTCGCCAAGAGCGACAACCACGTTACGACCGAACACGAATACGGGCGAAGGGGTACGGGAGAAGGGTGGGAAAGAGGTGGTGAAAACTCGGAAAGAGACGAGTTTTTAGTCGCGGCGGTACTACAGTGCCCTGCTGTATCCACTAACCTCTGCGAGTTACCCAGCAACCAAAGAAGACTGAAAAACCTCCGACGGCGGCATCAGTTATTATACGATTGCTAATATTAATAACAATCAATTTATTATATATATTATTTTATTACTATCATTTCTATTATTGATAGTATTACTACTACTATTATCCGCTTATAATTATCGTTTTGATAATTGGTATCGCTGCGCATCTCCGTCACCTTTATTGCTCTTTATCTCGCGATTGTTGTGTGGTAAACCTAAATTATCGTCAAAATATATTTATGTTGTACGTTGCATACTTATATATGAAATCTCGTATGAAACCGTTCGATGAGAAACGTGGCGAGTTGTGCCGTTCTCCACGAATGAACAAACGGTAATATTTGTTAATGCGATAACACTTGTTATTATAAGTACGTAATATTTAAACTGTATTTATTATTAGGAATAATCCTTTTAAATTGGATCTTGTACCGGATTGTCTAAGACAAATCAATTTTCACGTTCTTTCACAATTGCTATTTAAATTTGCGACATTTGCAAGGCGCAAAACATGTAAAATGAAAGAAATGTAATATATATCGATCAAGATTAGTATTTCAAAAATTTTGTCAATGACAATTTCCCTGATTAATTCAAAATTTCTTTTAATTTCGCATTAATTACAATTGGCAGTTCTCTATAAATAATCTTTCCAAAATTTTTCAAACATTAATTTTAACGAAGTCGGTACGAAAGATTTGCCATATATACTTATTTAATCGTATTTCTTTATGTAACACTATTTTGTATAAGTTTTGAGAAGCAGGAAGATGAAACTGAATACTAATAAGGTATTCCCGACACGAAGAGAAAAAGGGCAACTTCGACCGAAAACTCTGATTAATTTAATCGATTTGACTGGTAGAATTGCTCGTAGAAAAAATTTCTAGGTGAATAATTCATCACTGCTGATCTCTAATCTTGCCTTCTATGTATTAAGAAATTAATATAGTAGAATTCCATTTATACCAGCAAATTCACTCTATTTATACCAATAAATTATACTCAGTTATGAATTCATAGTTGAGTTCCTATTGTCCAAACTGGAAACTAATTGTGCTGTAATTCGGATAATAGTAGAGACTCTCTGATCAGAGACTGACTATATGACGGTTACTTTTGATTGATCCGACATTTTTCGTCAACTCGTATTCGTCAGAACAGACCGAGCATATATCTTCTTGTCTCTTGCATCACTGCAGAGTGAGAGGATTTTGCCATAATATGGCAAAATCATTCTTAATGAAACACATTAGATGTGAGCCTTAAAAAATTGGCCAATTATAATCGATTTTCTTCTCACATTCAACTGTGATTGATCAGTTTTTTAAGGTTTAAAATTTACTACACCTGTTGTGTTCCGGGAATTATTGGCCAATCCCTGATTAGAAGATTTCTAGAATCTAGATAATAGAAGCTCGACGTGCTTGGCTTCAGTTTTCTAAACGGCAGAGAGTTAATGAACCTTTATTATCCAAATCGATAATTGAACAGTCTTGGTCTACGATATTTGAATAAACGGAGTTCTACTGTAATCTTATTCAAAACAAAATAGTCTTACAACCGTGCGAGTGTTGTTCATCGATAAACTTGAATTTTGGTCGAAGTCACTTTTATCACTACGAACGTGGTACCGAATATCGTCTTCAAAGCAATATAATCTAGCGGCTGCATATAACGAAGCCAAGAAAACCTGTACGTGCCGATATCGTGGTTCGAGAGAATTTGAGCACTTAAGCAAGTCAGAGAATATCGTTCGATTTAGGCTCAATTGTTACAGCCGCGAAAACTTTGTAGGCTTCGCTCGCTATTTCGATGTCATGATGAAATGTTATTCGACGTCGTGCGTATCTCGCGCGGAGGCGTTGATTCACCGTTTACCGTAGGTGCCTTATACTCGACAGTACGAATACATACGTAGTCAGCTGACGTCGACGTCGCCTATGCTCGCGTACACGAACGTTTTGTAAATAAGTGCGTACAGTTAAGCGGCTAGAATGGATCTTATTCTGGCGATGGACGTCAGCATTATACACTGGCGATTATTATTAATTATTTATATCTTACGATGTAATTTTTAGTGCTACCCTGAACTCCTCTCCTCCACCCCCCTCCTCACCTATATTACGTTTATTACGGACTTGCTATCGTCATGATTATTTAAAGTAATTTCCCGCAAGTTGTCTTGATATTAAACGAGTTAATATTAATTATTGGATAAGCGATATGCTCTTGTACCGATATGCTTTATGTATACACGCTGTTTTAATTTAAAATCGACGCGGTTTCTGTAGCGCTTACGTCTACGCTGGAGGTAGAAATGTGTGTGAGAAGCTCGGTCTTTATTTTTTATTAAACTTAGCCAACAGGAGTTAGCTGACGAAAGATAAATAAAAACGGTGTATATCATAAAAATGGCGTCACGTAGGAGGGTTGCCGTTGCTCGTTGCATAAAACTTGAGGGAGGAAAAAGAAAAGGTAAGGAGCGGACGTTTCTCGAATCGCATCGGGATTCGTTTTATGCGAAATTGTGCCAATTGTTGCGCTGAAATAGAGCACGATTAATTCAAGCTGTAACGCTGGAGCGATGCTAATGTATACGTGAAATTATCGTTACGGAGGAAATGAATTTGTACATTTTGTTCTCGCAGCGCGTTCGACGAGTATGACGTCCGTATGCTCCCTGAGATGTAAAAATTCACTTTTTCTCGTATATTCATGCGATCATGCGAACGGCGATCGAAACTACTATTTTTTTTTATACAACGCGATAATTTTAATTAAATCTTTTGTATTTTTGCGACAAAGTAGGCTGCTGAGAGACGCATGACGCACACTTCGATAGTTTTGTAGAGAATGGAGATCGATGCTATTCTGTACTGTGCCAAAATGATTTATTAATTAAATGCCGATTATTATTATTACTATTGCTATTAAATAAGTAGAACAGCCTTACAATTTCCCAAATAACGAGACATGATCTTATTCATGTTTAACTTTATCAACGGCTGCGTTTAACAGAAAAAGCAGTTTTGCAATTGTAAGATTGTTTAAATATTGATTCTTGCCTTTAATTCCTCATTGAATTAAAAATGTATAAATTGAATAAAAATATATAAAGTTATACTGAAAAATCTTATACCAATTGCAAAGCTACTTTTTTTTGCTAAATGTAATTATTTAAGTTTATATCAGTTCACATTTTATATTTTGTTTTTAATGTGTATATCGTGATCGCGGAGCGAAAAGTACACGACAGGCAATATAAACTCTAGACTAACATAAGTGCTTTATTTTCGAAAAATATTGTGTATACAAAAATATATACTATCTATAATATATGTAATGTATATTTTCGTATATCTTTGAATGCAATATTTTTCGAGAATACAGCCCCTGTACGTTGACCCCCATCAGACAGACACATTAACTTTACCAACCGTTGGTCCTATGCCACCGTTGATCTCAATTTGTACCTGAAGAAAAAAGCATTATTGTATTCCAATTAAGAATTCGTGCGTCTGTAGAATGCCATAAAGGATGATAAAAAAAAAAGAACGTAGTTTTTCATAGTTCGCGCGATTAAGATATCGCCGTCTATACTAAATTTTAACGAGACAATAGTCGATAATTGGTGTCGCGAATTCTTGACGTAATTTTGCACAGTCCGAGATCTCGAAAGCCCTCTCTAAAATCTAAAAAGCGGCCACTGTCACGTACCTCTGGAAAGCGAGTTCTTCCTCCGCAACTATAAGTTCATCAGAGCCGTCTTCTGTGATAATACGAACGTCGTGACGCATCAAACAATTTCAACAATTGCTGAGGATTCCCACTAATAGTAAGCGGATTGCTTTGTCTCTCGGAATATCTTTTTCCCGCGTTTTTGATATCATAAGCGCGATATCATAAGATACTGGAATTATTTCCGGACAGTTGAAAAGAAATGTCAAGAATTCACACCCCTCTTCAACGAATGAATATATGATTCACCAATTGTGGGAACCGAATAGGTGACCACCAAAGCATGACTCACGAATTCGATTGATATTCTACGCATTCTTAATCCCGCGGGTTTCTCGACGGTTAGCCTTCGTTACCGCAAAGAAACCCGTTCTCCAGCGATTGGGATCGATCGATTGGCATACGTACTTCGATCGCGGACTAAAGGAGACGGGGCGGCACTGAAGGTGCACCGAGGACCTTCTGATTGCCCATGTCGGCGCACGTCGCGTCCATGAAGAAGTTCTCCATTTAAGGATTACCGTGTCGACGATTAACAGGACTCCCGTTAACGAAATTTCATTTCGTTCTTGTGACCATCGTAAGTACAATTTATTTACTTGTGAACCCATCTCGTCGATTCTCTCCAGAAGTTGCT